TTTACAGTATAAAAATGTTTCTAAAATGATTAAAAAAGGTTTAAAAGAATCGAGGAGCCAGTTGAGGTGACTCGGGCATCTGGTCAGGATGCCTCCTGGTGAGGTTTTCCGGGCACGTCCGACCAGGAGGAGACCTAAAGGTAGACCCAGGACACGCAGGAGGGACTATGTCTCTCACCTGGCCAGGGAATGCCTTGGGATTCCCCCGGAGGAGCTGGCCCAAGTGGCTGGGGAGAGGGAAGTCTGGGCCTCTCGCCTCAGGCTGCTGCCCCCACGACCTGACTCCGGATAAGCGGATGAAGATGGATGGATGGAATGTTTAAAAGGAGAAAAGAGGATGAAAGGAAAGAGGAAAATCAGTGGATCCTGGGAAAGGCGGCATAAGAACGGAAAAAGGAGAGGGAGGAGATGAAGGTCCCACCAAACCTGAAAAGGTGAGTTTAAAGGAGACCACTGAGTCCACTGGTCTCAGGCTCAGGGGGAGAGAGGTCCAGAGTCTGGGGGCCACAGCAGCAGATGATCTGTCACCTTTGACCTTTAGCCTGGTGCTGCACAACCAGTAGGCTCTCAAAACCTCTCCAGAACAACCGTGACGTCGGGGCTAACAAGCATGGCGGACGAGGGGCACTTCCCGATTGGATAACGGCAGCAAACACAAACAACAGCATCATCTCCTTCGGTGACGCAAATCAGATCAGCTGATTCATTTCTTTAAAGTTCTGAGGCCGGTGGGTTTTAACCAAGTCGCTTTCTTTTATTCCAGACCGTAATCTGGTTAATCTGCACCAGCCTGGGCTCAGATTAAAAGGAACATTGACGGGATCCTCGGGCTCTGGACTCCCAGCGGAGCAGGATTAAATCTCTCCTCCTGCTTCCACCGACAGCCACAACGGTTGCTTTTGGGCGGCGTTCAAACAGCGACACGCCTTCATCACGCAGCCGTCACTCAGCAGAGACCTGAGAGCTCTCATCTGTCCGGCCCATTTAGCAAACAAATCTGGTGGATTAGAGCCGCGGGCGTTCGTTACCGTGACGATCGCTGCAGCATGCTCAGTCCAAACAGAAAACTGAGATCATGTTTTCCTTTTCCTGCTGTTGGTTTGGAAAGCCGTCTGCAGCAGGAGAAGCCATCCACACGTGGATTAAGATAGGCGTCTTTAATCTGCCGTCATGGCATAAAAATAATCTGGTTCTCATCGGGCCCTGAAGCCGGGTGAACCCACCCTCAGATGATGGTTATTGTTATTTACTTCCATCTTCACGGCCTGAGCCCGTTTCCCACCGAGCTGGTTCGCGTCTCCGAGGTTCTGCAGGAACCGTAAGAGGAGCAGGACGGAACGAGTCCGACTCGTAGACCTGTGGACGTTCAGCCACAGCTTCACCGGGACTCTCAGTCTGGAACTCGTCCAGCGGGTGTCGGGTTGATCAAATCTGCTGTTTTCAGTTTCTAATAGGGCCTGCACGACTTTATTTTTTTTAAAGTCGACAGTCAAGTACTGAAAATCGAGTCGACTTCGACTAGTCGTTGATGACGTCATACGCCGGAAGCCGGGGGGGGGGGGGGGGGGGTCGGTCGGTAGGTTCGCTGGAGTTTTTGACAATTAAAATTGCGCCCACATTTTCAAAGATAAACACATTTCTTTTAACAACGGTAGTTTCTGCTTCAGCCCTCTCCCCCCTCCCCCTGCTTCAGCCCTCTCCCCCCTCCCCCTGCTTCAGCCCTCTCCCCCCTCCCCCTGCTTCAGCCCTCTCCCCCCTCCCCCTGCGCAGCGGCCGCAAACTCACTGATGCGCCTGCAGCCTCTCTGAGTTCCTGCTGCTCTAAACATTAAAATAATTATTTCATTTTCTGTTCCTCACTTCTGATTACCTTCAATGGTGTTTGTTTGTTGCAACCAGCAGGTACAAAAACTAACTTGTTTTTATTTGACTATTTTTCTGTCCTGTCTGTTTATTATCTTCCTGCATCTCCTCTCAGTCCTAAAGAGAAACTGCTACCTGGGTTCATATATATTCACCTCATGAGTTACCTTTGAACTGCAGTTCTAAAAGATCTACCGACCACTAAAACAGCGGAGTGCCGCTGCTCGCCGGCCGACTACAACGGGACCGTTTTTGCTGCGGAGTTTGTGCCGGAGCGGAGCGGAGTGGAGATAGTGGAATCTTGGGGGTGCATCACCGGAGGACAAAACAGGTGATGCGCCTCGCTCCGCAGCAGCGAAACGCATCAGGCACAAATAACAGACAGAAAACATAAAAGGAAATGAGCCGACATGAACGATCGCGTGTTTAATTTGTTTTTGAGGTGGTGACACCTGATTTGGCGGTGCTCAGGACGCAATGTCTGGAGCGCAGGTCAGTGATCAGAGCTTTGCATGCGGAAACTGGTTAAGGTTAGGATGGGGTGAGGGGAAGGTTAAATTGCAAGAGGGTAAAGGTCACAGTTTGGTTAAATGTCCGTTTTACCGCCGGTGTCAGTACCGCACAGCGCGTCGCCTTCG